TACGATAGTATAATGGGTGACAGATTGGCACCACACCTGTATATGATGCAACTTTATCCGATTACTACTTCTCGAGTTCGAGTAAAAGGAATGTTAACTGTTAGAAAGTATGTATTCAACTTCGTGAAACAAGCCGTAACGTTGTGTGCAGTTTGCACTTATTCACGTTTAGATTTGTGTTGAACAGTTGCTAGATCTTTGACTAACTAATTAACATTTATCATAAATTTAAAAAAGATATTTATATATGAAACGGTTAGGGAAATTCGGCGCGCTTTAATTTGACTATGGATCGTTGTTGAGTCGAGAATGCAATTTTTCGCACTAAGAAATCACTTGGAGGAGTACTTGTCGGGCTATCGCATCAGTTTTGATTAAAGATCGTGTTGTACTCGATCGGATGAATCGTAATAATTATGACAGGTCAATCAACGCGCTCTCCGAGTATCGTTTGAACAATTAATTGCGAGAGTCGAGAGGACGAAATACGCCGTGGAGACGTCATCCGCGCGAGTCTATTATCGCTAAGGCTGACACTAAGAAGTCGCGCGGTGCCGAGGTGCGAAGAGGAAAGTCAGGGCATTCATACGGCACTGTCACACTCGCGGCGAACGCAGAAAACGTGAGCGAGTGAGACCGACGAAGGCAGCGGACCATGGCGATTCGTGGGAGGAGGTTAAAGTCCGCTTTACAGCGAATTCCGCGCCTCATCAGCATCGTCGATCGACCGTTTTCCGTTTGCGATCAAATGAACGGCCGGAACTTAAATGAGAACATTGTAGAAAGCATTAAACACGCAACTCTCTGCGACCGCTGGCTGCGTGAATTTTAATCACTGATATAGCAGCAAGTTAGTTTATCTCTCAGTTTATGAATATGATATTTATATTAATTATATACACTAGACAGTTATGTAAAACCACTGGAAACATGAAGTGCCTTTACTTTTTTATCATTATCGCAAGATTAATATCGATTAATTTATTATTAAATCATTTTAACATGCTAAATATTACATAATTTTATCATTTCTATGAACAAAATAAAAAAATAAATAATATATTATATTATATTAGTGAAGTAAAACATAATAATTATAATTCTTTTTATAAAAAAATTAATATTGTCGCTAAATTAAATAGAGCGCAAATATAGTAGAAATTGAAATAATCGTTAAAAAAGTTACGCTCCATTTAATGACGATCATTTTAACGACCTTTGAATGTTGGTCATTAATTTGATCAGATGTATCGCTCACTTTGCTTCGATAATAAATGCTGGACCATCTTACGTATTTCTAATTACAATCACCGTGAGGATCTTAACCAGTCCACTGTCGTCCTACAACTCCCACTTTTCTGGATATGGTTTTAAAAAGGAGCTTTATTCGTTGACATAAAAACCAGAGTGCGACTCATGATTGCGCAATCAGTTATTAAAGAATCGTGTCGCATCTTCAAAAATTGACACGGCTTAAGGATATATATATCGCTTATGTCAAAATAGAGGGATGAAGCTGAAATTTACAGAGATTGTGCACTTATATATCCCAAAAACCTGTGTTAAATTTGCGATCAATTGTCCGACCCGTTTCTGAGATATTTGCTTTAAAAGTTACAGAAATTATATATATATAGATATACTTCTCATGTAAATATCATAATATGTATCTCTGCTCCTGTACAGTAAAAATGAATGAAATTTTTATGGTACATGTACACTTCTATGACATCGAAAATTGTAATTACGGTTTTTTAAGTTTTTTTGTTAATATATTTTTTTCAAATTTTTAATGATTTATTTAAACAATATCAAATAAAAAATGAGACAAAATTGCGATTTTTACGCTTTTTCTGTCTCAATGATAACATGTTGTTTATGAATAATTTTTGAGACTAGCTTTACACTGTTTAATCAAGAAAACAAAATTATACTACATATAGCTATACGTAAAACATCCTTAAAGCGAACAAAAGTGCCAATACGTCGAAATAATCTACTACACGATACATTTAAAACTAACAGGAATAATTTAATTCACAGTGAGTAGACTGGTAGTTTTTTTTTACGGACAAAGAAATCTATATTTTTCTTGACCGAAAACGCCGAGATATTTTCGCTGATATTAGGAATTTATCAACAGCGATTCCGATCGTATCAATAGAAATCACGCAAATATATTACGTAAACGATATGGGATAGCTGTAAACAATTAGAATATCAGCAATTCGCGCATGCTAAATGACTCTCTCGTCGCGTGCTGATTTAATGAGTGTGTATGTCTCGCATTATAATTTCTACCGATGTTGCGACCTCAATAAATGCCGAGGCGAACACAACGGACGTCCCTCTAATACTCTAATACGACGATCTATTAATATCACAGATATCTCTCACATTAGGCTCACAGATGTAAACAACGTGTTTCATACGTTGTCAACTTGATAATATAGGCGCACGCATCGGCACGCGCCGCTTCAAGCGGCTTCAGCCTTCAAGCCGCTCGATGAGTTTGAAGGTTCGTCACGCAAACTTAACTATCGACAGTCGAGAAGCGCATTTCCTAAGATTAAAATGCATATTTTATTGGTCAGATAGTGTAGGTTTATTTACATAACAAACAATTATTAGATAATTATCGATTATTGAACTACGTCGTATTCCGATAATTATCATCGGCGGGATTGTTATTATTACTTTACTAATTTATTCATAATAATGCACAGGAAAATATAACAGTGTATAAGCGGACAAGTTGAACAAGATAGCATTAAATCAACACTCATTATTGTTTAAATAATATGAACTTGTGCTAAATTTAATCACAATGTTTGATTTTTAAAATAGGTAAAAGTACATACAAAAAATATATAGATAATCTAAATATGTTAATAACAGTCATATATGCGCGTTTAACTGATAACAAAGAAGCTTACGATTACGATCTGTTTGAGCTTAGGATTGAAAGAAATATATTTTTTGATATGGAAATAAGCATTTTCTTATACTTTTGGACTACTAAATAATAGATATTTCTCAACATAGTTCTCACGAGTTTTTATTAATTATATTGTACTAATTGTCACGCGTTAAACATTTTAATGCTTTCTATTTATAGCGACCCTGAAATGAGCATGATAAAATCTTCAATTTTTCATACTCATTAGCACGTAAGTAATCCACGCTTAAATTTATATTTCTTTATTTTATGTGAAATTAAGAAACAAAAATTGCGCTGTTTTATATGCATACATTATAGTACATACAATAATCTATTCATCTTGTTAACGCGCTTATGTGTACATCTCGGGGAAAAAGTCGCGCGACATCTAGAACTCGTCCGTCTTGCACGGTCTGTAACTACTGCGAGGTCGACGTACGTAACTACTCGTTAATTGCCATAACTACTGCAAAGGACTGTACTGCGACTTTATCTACCTGTCGCTCAGTAATTATAAAATTTGCAAGCATCTATCTTGACATCGTTTTACACACACACACATACACATACATATGTACACGTCGTATTTATATTTTATTGGGACACACACATTGCCTTACCAATGCTACTGACTCAGTAGCGTTACGATATCGCATAATTTAATTAAAAACACATTATGTAAATGAATATTTTTTTATTGTGAAAACTGAAATTGATATACATAAACTTAAATGAATATTCAGAAAAGCATGCGATTTGGGTTCTTAACCAAATAACTTTTAATAAATCAGCTGTCTGGATTGCTCACAAAACGGACGACATATATATTGTCCGTAATTGTTTCACGGCTTTTTATTATTGTATTTGGGTATTTTGCATGTCACCGTTACATTTCTATGGATATTAGTAAAGCGATATATTAGCGATCACATACATATAACATAAATAATACGTAGTTGTACTAATGTCCATAGACCATAGACATGTGACGGTGATGTACTAAATATCCATATACAATAATAAAAAGCATAAAACATAAAAGCTATCCGCTCGTTTTTCTTTTTATATTATTAACGAATAATTCAAAGTAAATAGCAAAAAAGCTCTCTCGGAGTTACCAAAATAACATCGACCGAGTTTGAAATAAAAGATATACGAGTGCAGTTGTTTTATTAGCTAAGTTAACTACGTCTAGTCTTGCCTATGTAGGTCATATCTACTTGGCTGACATTTTGTACATTCCGATATATTCGCGAAATAAACAACAAATACTGAACGGTCAGAATTGATAAATCGGTTTTTATGTTGTATTATCAACTTGAAGTTTCAAGAATAAAACTTGGATAATCACGAGTTGTATTTCGAGTTATAGAGAGATTAAAATACTCTCTTTGCAACTTTGTGCGTTACAATTGATAAAAAAGTGATAATTATTTTAGAATATTGGACTTAGAATTGTAGAGTTAAGAATATCTATAATGAAATACGGAATGTACATTTCATTAGTCATTTTTTTGAATCGGTTCGAATTAAATATTGTCAACGGTTGAAATTTAAACCTCAAAACATTGCGATAAAAAGTAGTAGACATCATATCATAATTCTGCAGTCACGATATTTTGTCTCTGAAGACACGTACTTCGGAGGATTATCTAAATAAGTGATTCAAACAGGAATGCGATTCCTCACTAAGACACATTCATCTTTCGGATATACCGATAATTTTATCAGCACGGCAGTGTAAAACGGGCTTTATTCGGCATCGCGAATACTCGTGTCGCGACAGAAAAAGAGAGAGAGAGAGAGAGAGGGGGGGCGGACAAAGAGAAAGAGAGAGGGACCAGACCGTCAATGACACTGACGAAGAAGGAGAATGATAGAGTACGGGGGAGAGGGAATTGCGCGGTGCCAGGCCGCGAGAGGGGTGGAAGCCGCGGACCAGCGCGGCACGGGAGGGAGGCGGAAAACGCGTAAACAGAGAGTCAACATGTAAACAGGCCACTCGCGAGACAAACAACGTGGGGGCCGCGGGCTGTTCGCCGCCGAACGAACGAGGCAGGCAGGCAGGCAGGCAGGCAGGAGGCAGGAGTCAGGCGGCCAGGCAGACACAGTCAAGCGGGCTCGTGTACGTTCACTCCGTCCGTCCGCCCGTCGTCGCTGCGCGCTCCGTTTTCCGTGCACGTCCGTCCGCTCCGACCGATTCGGAAAGGAGTAATAACGCGTCGCGCGTCTCGGCTCCGCGTGTTCCCGACTTATCAAATCGCGCGCGCCGCGCTGCTTCGAGCGGGGAGCCGCCGGACGATCGTACCTGCTGCGCCGGGTCCTTCGAGCTGCTGCGGCCTCCTCTGCGGCGGTGGCGGCGGCGGCGGCGGCGGTTCGATTCGAAAACCCGCCGAAATTCGGAAGCGAGAGAGAGAGAGAGAGAGAGATCTCGGGGCCGTTCGGCGCGGCACGACGGATTCGCTTCGGCCGGTTTCGCCAGTGTCAAGAGAGAGAAAAAGAGAGGGAAAAATGAGCGAAGGGAGAGAGAGAAGTGGAGAGGAAGAGGAACAGTGCTTTTGTTGATAAAACATACCGCGCTGTACACGTGAATTTTTGCTGCGGCGCGGGCGCGGTGATGAAAACGTCAACCGCGCGCGTCTCTCGACGTGTCGAGACGGTTAATTCGTTGAATCGTTAATTGGATTGTGTGCGTGAGTTAATGACTCGTTTGCCTAATTAATTATCCCGTGTCGATGATCGTCGTGAGTGTCGGTGCAATGATAAACTTTGTGACAGTGCAATCTATAGACGAGGATATAAGAAAAGCATAGGCAATTGGATATCGCCTAACCTAAAAGGGTGACAGTTTTTCTAGTCAGAAGAAAATTATGATGACACTTTACATCGGAGCACGATGAGTTGATAATGAGTGATTGCCGGTCAGTTTAAAAGCAGCACGTCCGTCATTTCTTCTCAATATACATTCAGTTCCTGGAATTTAACTAGCGCTTTACTCGTATTATAATTTGCATTTACCGGCAATCTTTTTACTTGGATAATTCTTTTTTACGCTAATTTTAAATAATAAAAAACGCAAAATAAATCATTGATGCAAACTGACGTAAATTATAAAAATTCGAGGAAATCTTTGGGCTGTTGAGCGTATAATTTTTCGATGCAGAAAAAAAATACAGCAGGCATTAATTTTTGTGCAATATTTTGTAATATCAAGTTGTTGAACAACGACAGTCGCAGCGTCGTGTTAACAAAGTGCAATATAATGTACGACGTGCAAAAGAGGAGGATTCGTTAACGAGCAATAGACGAATTTGTAATTATTTAGTGCGTCAGAGTGACACGGTGCGTTACGCGTCGTTTGTGATTGCGGAAGAAGAGTGAGTATTGCATAGTGGGGAGGAATACGCGCATTTCCGGGGAAAATAATCACACGTTTTGCACGTTTCAGGCAAATCGGTAAGTGTATTTTACATGAATTATCATTTCGTTGCGATTGGTTACAACTCAAGCGTAACTATTCGAAACACCTATATGTATAGACAAACGACAAAATACTATATTAACTCTGACACAATCACTATTAGCAAAAATACGCAAATGTTATGTATATATAGGAATAATCTGTTGATCTGAGGGCCGATATCACAGTCTCCGATTGCCGTGATCCTCCGATTAAACTCACTCTGCATCTCTTTCTAACTGTCCCCCTAGAAAGAGACGAAGAGTGAGTTTAATCGGAGGATCACGTTAATCGGAGACTGTGATATCGGCCCTGAGTCTCGCTGTCTTTTCGAATTGAGAGTTTTAATATCGGCCGACCGGATGCTAACTATTGTTGATGCTAAAGGCGATTTCTCTGGTTACGTACGTGTTATCGAATAGCCTGCCAATGTAGTCGGTGCCAAAAGGTTACGATCAGCGTGCATGTTTTGATCGATTGATTTTGACGAGCGTGTTGCCACGAGGCTACATACGCTTTGACAAAAATTTTATAAATCGTTTTATTTAAAATCATGTTTATTAAATATTAGTAAAATATTCAAGACAGCATAATATTAGTTGTTAAAATAGAGACCTCTTCGGTCAATTATGTTTAAAGAAAGAAAATGTATAAAAATATTATTTATCACGCTACTTTTTTCTAAGTAATCGTCAATACTGTGATTATGTTCTTCTTGTGTACTGTACTGAACGCTACAATGTAATTTAACGTCCTCTCATGGAGCGAGATAATTGATAAGTTATCTAAAGCAGTTCACAGAGTGTAACCGCCGCGAGTAGCAAAACGTGCTTATTTGCTTCCGGTTTAAATGTCAATAAAACATACAAAGGCCATGGATTACGCGAGAACCTTGCTCTTTTGCGTCAAGTACATCACACGGTGAAACGTAATCGCGCCGAAATTCGCGATACGTGGAACACACAATGTTATAACACGGCCATTCGCAATTTCGTAACCGTGAACTCGATCAGCGTGACACGAAGAAATCAGAATGTGATAATAATGTTTCCTTAGGAGCGCGACGATTGTCCCCGGCGACGTGTCGTCGAGAAAATGGAAATCGCTGTTAGCGCGGCGAGTAACCTAACGGAAGAATTATCCGCGCGTATTGGCGGCCGCTCGCGTGAATCATTATCTTCTTGCGGCAAACCGTGTGTGAGCAATCGTTACTTGCGGCTTTTATTAAGATTTATGAGACGCTATATACGCACACGTTCTCTAATTGCTCGCTCGCGCGAGCGAGCGCCTCCTTTTAAGAAAACTTTGCTCTCGGCACGTCCATTATCCGCTCATTATCACGACTACGTTGCGCTCATAAATCGTCGAGCTTACAAACACCTTTCCGGGTATTCCAAATTTAAGAGCGGCCAATTAATTATCCCCGCGAGAGACAGCCTCTGACCATCGCCTGTCCGTCTGCCAATTCGAACTCGTCCGATTCGTGCGAATCTACCGCGTCGCGCGTTGCACCGTCCGGATATAAGTATATAAACCGGAGCGCGGGAAGAAAGTGTCGAATGGAGCAGAAACATTATTCCCAGATAAGAATATCTGACTAATGCAAGCCAGCTATTTGTTTCTTAGGAACAATTGCTGTTTCCAGCAACGGAGCTTGCGATGATACGGTAGCTCGTTCTTTTTTTAGAACTCGGGCGAATTAATATGAATTGAATTCTCTCAACTGACCCTTAATAATATAAAACAGTCTCGAAAAAGCACGTCAGATTGCATGGCACTGAATCTTGTAATTATTTACCCGAGTTGTTATAATTGCAAAATCTGTTTCGAGTTACTCTTAAGATTTCAATATTTAAAGTATTTAAAAATAAATTTGCGTATTTATATTATGATGAGATCTGACAAAAACATTCTCATCTGAACTAACATATAATCAATATATTCAATATTGTAGTATTTCTGGACTAATAATTGTGTCGAGTAACTTATTACGTAAGCAGCTGTTTACTGTGGTATACCTTTAATCCGTTCCATATTCTCGCGCCGTTTACGGAATCTGGAGTGCAGCAACACGTGGAACATGTGCGTATGCACGTGCACGATGTATGACAGTTTAATCAATTGGAGTTCGATGGACGTGTCGTGCGTTCGATTCGAGCGTATTAGAAGAAAGACGTTTAATTGGTCGGTTCGGAACGAACGTTCGGATCTCCTTTAAAAGCCTTCAATCACTCTTTCTTTGCCTTCTACAAGAAAATATACGTTAATACACCGGGTCAAAGGTTGAATGCGATTGTGAAATCTATGCACTGAGCAAAGGAATTCTTACATAGAAATTATTGCGTAAGATTAATCGAGCCTAATCTTAGTTGTGACAGCAAAAATCGATTATATAATTAGATAATCCGCAATAATTATAGCTTGACGTGGTCAAGCAGTTAATTTCGAGTAGAACAAAGTGATTGCAAATAGACACTTTGCAATGAATAAATTGTTCTTCCCCGGCATTTCTTCTAGGCTAAAATAATTTCTCGCAACAGATCTTTAGATTTTTATCAATTATAATAAAATAAGTAAATGGTAAAATTGGCGTAAATAAATTACAATAGTGTGTCGATTAAAATTATTTTAATTCGAATACGAGCAAGAAAAAAATAACGCGTGAAGAAAAACTGTTAAATTCGAAGAAAACTAAGGAAAAATTGAAAGAACTAGAATACTGTACAGACAAGCGTCATTATACAATAGATTTATACAGCAGAAAATATACGTGTCGGATATATGCAACGCTTATTGTAATATTAAAAGATTCGAAAACTCGCGCACAATTACCCCTCTTCACGTTATATTGATGTTTAATAAACTATTGCGGGACTGTTTAATAACGTTTTAACTATCGATCCCGCCGCGTCAGCCGGATCGATCACCGGGCGAGAGTTCGATTCAAGCGCGCAATGGGAGAAAACGTTTAATTGGATCGGTCGTCGATTTGATCTCGTTGATCGAATCTGAACAGTTTAACGATTCGTGCCAGACGATTAATCGGCGAAATTCGTGCCTGCAGTCTTGTCTGGAAACGCGGAGCTCCGCAAATTGTCCGTAATTATTTATTGTACCAACGTCCATACACAGGGTCAAACATTCAAACGTCAAATTAAAACTGTTACTTCTCAATCGTGATCAATCTTTGTGAAAGACAGTTATTGTTCGTTGGGGAATGATTCAAACGGATTAACACATTAGCGTTAAATAATAAATATTAGGAAAATAGAGGCAAAGTATCCATCTTCAGAATATAATTGTCATCACGTTTGTGATTAATGCAATTATCTCTAACGCGATTAAACGAATTTTTTGTCTTGCTGCTTCTCTATTTCAATTGCTGAAACGTATCGATACAAACTGAACACTTGTTCCTACGGTAATTTTTCTAATTTTTCTAAATTTGCTTATATTTGAGAAATTAAAAAAACAATTTTTACGTTTAATTTATCATTAGGGATTATTAAAATTTCATATTAGTTCGCTGCTAGCCGTGTAAAATTTATTGCATCGTGTAAATGACGCGCGTAAAGTCGAAATTGTCATGAAGATATTATAGATGATAAGTATTAGAACGATAACCGCCCGATAATAATTTTCAAATAAACATACACGTAGCATGTAAAGTGTTCGCGCGCACGATTCCTCCGTGTTAACAGACCTAAGATTACTTAAAGTAGGTTTCCATTAGTTGCTCCAAGTTACGATCGTTTTATAGCTGAAGATAAGAAGTTAATCTTATTTTGTTTATAACCACGTGTCATGTAATTTTACGGCGGAGTTCGTATTGCCTTAGAATAACACGTCTTGTCTTGGAATAAAATAACGTGGAATTTTCTGATGATGATTACGAAAATTAAATTAAGCACAATAAAATGCGTGTGTTGTAATATGAATAAAAGTACAATAGATTCTCTTATCTCAAGTAAACGATTGCGCACGGAAATAATATTTCCAACGCGTTCCAGCGCTCGTATGAATTGGAGCGGGTTTTCCCGCTTTTACAACCTTGCATTGTCGTGATATCTCGTACACATACGTTGTTCAGTCCGTACTTTTAGACCTTCGCGGGGAGTAGGATGCATTAAAAAGTGCTTGCGAGCAGCAACGAGTAAACAGATGGTTATTTATAGCCAAGCTGTGCGTCAACTAGTAAGGTGAAGCGAATAACGGGGAAAACCACGAGACTGCGCCGCGCATTCAAAACTCTGTCACGGAGTTGAGGAATTGCCGTCGTTTCTCGCAATTATTTCTTGAATTAGCTGGATTGCGGAATGATTGGGCCCATTCGCATGCAAAATAAAATTGCCTTCATCATGTACACACGGAGCGTAGTGTATTTCGTATGCGTTCATCTCGCCGCGGTTCCCGTTAAACTTCATTACTTTCTTACCTCGATAAGTATCAAGCATTAGCTCACAATACATGAAATGTAGGAATTTGTTTCCTGTTGGAATTATGTTGCACCGTTCACCGGGGAGACGTGGGGGGACCTACGTCTTGCTCTTCACGTATAATCGATGCATTAAAGCAAATTGTTTTACCGCAACATTAGATTCGTAACTTTGTCATGGAATTTCAAAAATCGTGCGCAATCTATGGAATTAAAGATTCTTTTTACTCTTGGATTCTTTAACTTATAGACATTCTTCAGTTACGCTTTTATAACTAATTAAATTTTTATTTGCTTTTTACCGTACATTTTTTAATTTACTGAAAGAAATTAAAATGTGTAATAAATGTCAAATAAATTAAATTATCTTGTAATATTTCGTCATCCACTGACGCGCTTCGTTAACGAATTACTGTGATAGCGATGCAAGTATATGCTCGCAATCTTGAAAATTTTAAATTATCTCCTTGCAAGAACAGCTTATATAATTATACTGACATAAAAAAATTATATTCTGATAGAAGATTTTGAACAAACCGTTGCAAATATAAAGGAAGAAAA